AATAGAGAATTATAAACAATATAAATAAAAATAATTGATAAAAATTTTATTAAAAAATTTTAAAATATCTCTCTAAATGTCATTTTAATGTTTATATAAAAATTTATTAAAATTTATCAGAAATAATAGAACTGTGCATTTATCTTTTGATATGTAAAACTTTATTTACAATGAACCCACGAGTTATTATCTATTTTAAAATAAATTAAAAGAAAACCGAACACTTTAATACTTAAAAGAAACTAAATACAAATAAAATTAATTTTACAAAAAATATAAAATTAAATACAAATATAATAAATTAATTTCTGTTTATTTTTGTTAAAATAAATTTGAAATAGAAGATAAAAATATATATATAAAATTCATATATAGAAGTAAATAAATATACTGTAACTATTTCTTCTGGAAATACTTCAAATTCTCTTTTACTAAAATAAATTTTTACATACAATTTTTCCATTAAATGAAAATTATTAAAAAAAAATAAACCTAAAATTATATATTAACTGAAAATTAAAATTAACAGTGAAAATTTATAAAAAAACAAAAAGTTAATGTAAAAAACAAAAAAATTAATATACAAAACAGAAGTAAATATAAAACTTATTTTTCAATTTAAAACTTTATAACTTGGTGTGAAAATAATAATTGTTTATCGTAATCAATATTGTGCAAGTTATGTGTAAAGATTAAAAAAAATAATTAAAAATAAATATTTAAAATTAAATGAAATTTTTAGTATACAAAAAAAGTATACTACACTAAATAAATATATACAATACAATACAAATAAAAAAGTAATAATATAATGGAAAAATTTTTTTAAATAAATAAACAATTCGATTTGGTCTATTAAATTAAATAAAAGTAAGTAAATAAAAAAATTATATTAATTTTAATTAATATTTAGGATAAATAATTACAAAATATAAAATCTTATAACTAAAATAACAAAACGAGCACTAACTAACAGGGTTTTCAGCTCGAATGGTAGGTAGTTGAAGCAAAACATGAACGAATTCTCCTAAACAAGTTAAGAAAGCTATTTTGATTCTACATTAATCGTAATTTTGAGTATAATGATAGGCATATTAAAACCAGTCCGATGCATATAATAAGTACAAGTATATGATAAATGCAAGTAACTGGACAATACTATTGTTAGAAATATCGTCGAGTGTTTTAAAGAATGGTTTTCCCAAAAGAATTTATTTAAGCCTAATTCTGATACTCCGATGAATACTTCTCGAACATCTATAGACATGTATTCAAGAAGATTCGACAAGGCAGACCGAGCTTACCTTCATGCCTATGTACTGTGTTCCGTTACGACAGATATTAATCCAGATACTTTCGAACTTTATTTGTATATACTAAGTCGAAGGTTCTGTATTTGTAGTATAAGGGTCATGTAGCTCTCGAATAAATAGAATTTTATCTTTGACTAGCATCAAAAGTAAAGCTATTGTTGAGTATATGATCCATGGGTGGTGGGCTATTACAAAATGGACATCAACCATTTAGGCTGATCGCCACTCAAAATGTAGTCATAGAAAAATAATGAACGCTCCATACGCATTCAAAAAAAATTTGACATTGTTGATGGGTGCATGACTATAGATATATTGCTTTTAATACATTGGTATCAGTCGACTTGTAGTGATTGTTGTATACTGATATCTATTTTTGAACTAATATCTTTAAAAAATTATTAGTTATATAGTTACTTGTTAGTGAATTGCTTATCACTTAATATTCATTTTTTTTATATTTAGTAAAAAATTAAAAATTTTATATACCACAAAAAAAAATCTATCTTCGTATTATATGAGCGATAATAGTTAATAAATTTCTGACACATATAGTCTAGAAATTATACTATATACCGACAATTAAACCAATAGTTTTTTGCACACAGTATTGATGATGGACATTTGTTGTTATCTGTTAATAAATTGCAGTGGTCAGTCCAAGTATTGATTTAATTATTAAATTTATGAATTTAATTTAGCTCTCTTAATAAAAAATTAAAGGAATAAGAATTCATTTATATGATTTTAAATTTTATAGAATTTATTTAATATACGTATACATACAATAGTTTAATAGTTAACCTTTTTCATAATTATTTCAAGATAAAATGGAATAATATGAATTTTTAATTAAATTTTTTAAAGCTATAGATAATGGCAAATATATTATCCAACAAATATTGTGGGGAATTCATATTTTACAGAAATCATTTGACTTTAAATATATTTTAAAATGTCATTACACTGATCAATGAGTTTTAGAATTAAGCAAAATATAAAAGAAAAAAGTATGTATGTATGTATTTTATATAATAT